CACACACACACACACACACACACACACACACACACACACACACACACACACACGAGCAAGCAAGCCGAAAACGATCAGATTCAAACGACCATTTACAAAGTCCTAAAAAACCCTCTAAAACCACTCACGTCCTTGTTCTTGTACATCTGAGCGGACATGGCGCTCTCCTGTTTCCTGCGGGAGAAGTGGTGCGCGGCGGCGAACTCCACCAGCGCCGTGAACACGTAGATCGTGCACACCAGCATCCAGATGTCGATAGCACGGATGTAGGAAAACCTGAGTAACGAGGAAAACACCGGGTCTCTATTTTAGTCAGTGCAATTTTTAATGACAGTTCCTGGGATGACAAGACATAACGTCGAAGCATCATACGTTACGTATACGTATGCAAAAAGTCATGGTGTGAGTGTGAGAGAGAGTAAGTAAAGTGTGACAATGTGTGCGTGCGTGTCTGTATGTATGTGTATGTGTGTGTGTGTGTGTGTGTGTGTGTTTTGTATACACGTACCGTTAGTTATGTTTGTGTGTGTGTTTGTGTGTGTTTGTGTTTGTGTGTGTGTGTGTGTGTGTGTCTGTGTTTGTGTGTGTGTGTGTCGGTGTGTCTGTGTTTGTGTGTGTGTGTCTGTGTGTGCGTTCGTGTGTCTGTGTGTCTGTGTTTGTGTGTGTGTGTGTCGGTGTGTCTGTGTTTGTGTGTGTGTGTCTGTGTCTGTGTGTGTGTTCGTGTGTGTGTGTGTGTGTGTGTGTGTCTGTGCTTGTGTGTGTGTGTCAGTGTTTGTGTCGGTGTGTCTGTGTTTGTTTGTGTGTGTGTGTGTGTCTGTGTGTGTGTGTGTGTCTGTGTGTTCGTGTGTGTGTGTGTGTGTGTGTCTGTGTTTGTGTGTGTGTGTGTGTCGGTGTGTCTGTGTTTGTGTGTGTGTGTCTGTGTGTGTGTGTGTGTGTGTCGGTGTGTGTGTGTGTGTGTGTGTCTGTTTGTCTGTGTACCATTCTGCCATTGCATTGCGTCCGGCAGATGAGTCTTACCTGGGAATGGAGCTCCGTGTTGCCGAGGTGAGCGTGGTGGAGGTGAGGACGGTGGTGATGCCGAGCGCGACCCGGGCCGGCGCCTGGAGAGGACTGATCCAGAACGTCAGCCACGACAGGGCCACGATCAGGGCGCTACGGGACGGAAGGGTGGCACTGGGTTACACTCTAGCGTACGCGTTGAAGGCTAGACATCCAGGTAATGAGATACACAAGGAAATTGCTACTATAGCAACGGGATAAATTTCAGAATCGAGACCTCAATGACCCACCTGGGCACATATGTTTGTGTTATGTAGTACCCGACACTCCGAACCAACTTGAAAGTGGCTTGGTTACAGCCGAATTCACCTGCAAGTAGGAAAGAAAGACACGGTGAACGAAACATTTGGATAATATCATAGGACCAGGTGATATATAAACTGTTACCGCAGGAATGTAGAGATCAGCCAGATCCTACGGTCGCAAGGCCGGAACCATTGGCCAAAGGAGTGGCCATCCATTGATTACCACGTACCGTAGGATCTGCTTGACTGTTAACGTTGTACTCTCTCTCTCTTGGCTTGTTGTAATCTCTCTCTTGTAATATAGGTTAGCTAATGGACACGCTTTTGGGCAATGGTTTATACAGCCTTGTCACCGTGGGATCTAGCTGAAGATAAAGTGAGTACGTTTCTGCCCACCTATAGAGTAGTTCCCGCCACAGCCCTTCCATGTCCAGCCATCAATGACGTACTCCGGCAGCTCTATGCCAGGATTGGTCTCCACTGCCGGCTCCTTCCACTCTATGATCAGGTCATCCGTTGTCATACCGTCTAAAGCCGCAAGGGGGACAGAAATAAGAATTCAAGGCGGTTTTAAGAAAGCGGTAGCAAACACGTGTTTGCTACCGCGATCCAGGATCAAGCGGCGCTCTAGACAGTTTTCGCGTATCCAAGAACGTAGATTTGCGCCAGTCAAGGTCTGGCGGATACGCCTGGACTATACAGAACATTGCGTCAGAACACGGTTCTATAAAATAAAGCAAGGCTTTGACAACAAATTGAAGGAAGACTGTCAGTAACTTCACAAAGTTTTCACGGCTGCAGCATGATGCAGAGCCAGTAGATGAGGGATAATGATGATTGATGACTTACATGGTCCCAGTTGAATCTTGCAGAACTGAGCATCGAACGGGTACATGCGGAAATCCATCGGACAGGAGTTCTTCAGCGTCTTCCTGTAGGTTCGAGTAAGAACAAACAACTTGTTTAATAGTAGTAGTAACCATCTTTCCATCTCTGAAGGTGATGGCAGCACTCTACGTCTAGTGTTGAGGTTGTGTGTAGCCTCTAGCGTGGTGTGGCTTAGATATCAGTCCTATCTTCACAGGGCCGAAGTTTCTCACTATGTATCTTACCAACTCAGACGACCTTTCACAACAAAAACTGTCTTACTTCTGGCTGGAGAGGACGTCGCCGTTTGGCCAGACCCAGAGCAGGCTAGTGAAGGCGCTGGAGGCGCGGTACCCGGCGTCCTTCTCGTTCAGGAAGTAGATGTCGGGCGTCCAGACCAGGCTGCGGGCCGCCACGTGCAGCTGGGCCGTCTGGTTCGGCTGCGTCGGCGTGAACCGGAACCGCGGGTCGTTCCACCACATCCGGAAGTAGAACGTGATGACGTAGTCCTGGTGAAGAAGGGAAAAAATGTAAAAGATGCAAAGAAAAAGAAAATGTAAAACCTGAAGCTCTGATGCAGTTCTGTAGAGAGCCACTATGAGACTCATAATCGAATTTGTCTTTAATTTGTTTCCACCACATCCGGGAGTAGAACGTGATGACGTAGTCCTGGTGAAAAAGGGTAAAAAGAATGTAAAAGACGCAACGAAAAAGAAGATGCCAAATCTGAAGCTCTGATGCAGTCCTGTAGAGAGACGCTAGGAGGCTCATAATCGAACTTGAAGAGTAGAACGTGATGACGTAGTTCTGTGGCTGTGGAAGAAGGTGAAAATGGATGGTTCTGGTGCAGTTCTGAAGAGAACAGCTAGGACGCTCATAATTGAGTGTCCTCCATTTTTCACCATGCACGCACACACACACACACACACACACACACACACACACACACACACACACACACACACACACACACACACACACACTCACTGACTCACATAACGCGCACACACACACACACACACACACACATACACACACACACACACACACACACACACACGCACGCACACACACACATTGAAACAAAACAAACGTAACAATGTTACGTTAAAGTTAACCTCACCATGGATATCTCGGAGATGGAAGCGATGCTCTCCACGTACATCTGCATCAACACGTGAACTCCCGGACCTGGGACGGACAGGGCAAACGTGTTAGTCTAACCCGTGTATGACCCTAACCCCAATCAGGTATAGAACAAGAAGTAGTAGGTACGGTTCTACATGTAGATACAATACCATTACCATAAGAGGAGAAGACAGAGGGGTTCACCTTGATCATTAGGGCGGATCCTCCTGTCGTAGGTCTCCAGAATAGCGTAGAAATCTCTCATCGAGTGCATCTCTGGCGGGTCTGGCGACGTCGTCGCTACCTGAGTCCTGGAACAGAAGAGAGAACGACTCTATGTTAGTTGGTCATACCCATGTAATTTGGTCTACTACTTCTTGTAGGCATAGACTTGCAAAGACGTAAATTTGACGCTCCATATTGTCTGAAAGCTCGAGCTCGATATAAACTCACGATGACCTCACCTACCCTTTACATAACTGTACGTCGTGTGTATCCTTCCTCTTACTATAACCTTACCTAGTTGAAATGCAACCACAACAGGCCTCATGTGGGGTCGTGTGGCGTAACGACAGAGCAAACGGCTCGGAACCAAAAAGAGGTCCCGAGTTCGAATCCTGCCATGCCACTGATTTTGTGCCCTAATTGGGAAAGACACTTTACACAAATTTCTCACTTAACTCAGGTGAAAATGAGTATGCCTGTCGTTCATGCCTTTGTCTGCGTTGGTGACGGTATGAATATAATTTGAAAAAAAACTTGTGTGCCGTCGCCATATCTTGTAATAAATGTTAAAATAGACAAAAAATAGACTTACCCCGAGCCTGTTGTTCCTGCCGTTGTCGTTAGGTCTGCTGTTGTAGGACTGGGACTGGTGCTGTTTACGGCGTCTATCGTTTGGATGAAAGTTGGTACTGAATTAAGTCTATTCTTTTTCATATGACGGACATGACACGTTACAGATTACTAGATGACAGTGTAAAATTGACAACAATTATTCGTCGTTTTGGGTAGTTTCAAACATGTGCAATGTTCCATGAAAGCTACACGTGAAACGATATTTGTTTCTAAACATCCACCTTAAAGGTTTTTGAAAGATCTGTCCGTATTGCGACAAAAGAAGAAGGTAGAAGACAGATAAAAGATCATTACCGCAGTAACTTAAATATGACCTCGTTCTGCAGAACACACGTGTGAAATATCAGTTACACATCCTATCCACAAGATTAAGAGGCCGCCAGAGATGAACGACCAAAGATCACAAAATCCACTCATTATGCGGTATGTGGGACTATTTATTATCCACTGCCTTCGAAGGAGCAAAGAAGAAGTCAAACCTTATGATAGCTATAGCGTAGTAGTAGAAGTAGAAGTTTTTCCAGACAGTAATTGTCTGTCTCCTATTCTTGTATTGTACCGAATAGTATCTATGATTGTAAAAGCAATTAGCCTTCGGGCATGATTTTGCAAATAAAGATTATTATTACAACAGGCAACGGAGTATATTACTAGTATTCTTAGGTTAACCTCACCAGAGATGTTCATGGTGAAACATAGGATGATCACAGGAAGTATCACCGCCCTCTGTACCACAGCCATGGTGTTAGCTACCTGTCGTAGAGAGGATGACGCTGAATATTAAAGGCTATGGTAGTATTGTCATGCTTTTATTTCAAACCCTTCCTAGTACGCTTTTGTCCCAAATGTGTGTCGTTTATTTTGACAGTACTTAAATGACAGGTCTGTGCAAAGGATATTCAGTCTGAAAATCTAAAGAGCCCCCAAACAAACGTTTTTAACAATGTCTTTGTCGTTGAATAGGGGTTCATTGCACATTTCTCCATGCCACATACGTATTGACTCAAACAAGCGTTAGGGTAAGGTGCGGCGCGGTGCTAGATTGTGTGCTACATGTTTATGTGGCTCAGAGGCTTAACAACTAGCTTAGCAAAATTCATCGCTTGTACAGAATGCCGAAACGGTTTTGATGCACTTTTCCGCATTCTGAACAAGCGATAATTTTTTTTCTCTAAACACCAGCAAAAGTACCATACGGCAGTTGTGGCGGAAACAAATTAAAACGTTTACTGTAAACCAAACGCGAGGAGCCTGTTTATGAGTAAAACATTGCACACCACATGGATTGTTAACCTGGTTTGGTTGACTCACCTGGTTGCAATGTTCCGTTTAGAAGCGGTATTCTGCCGTTCGTCACAACATACGGCTGCAAAAATCACACGTCAACCTGGAGCAAGGCAAAACGCTTTTAAAACAAATAATTACATGAGATATCTGATATCTCTGTATACATACATCGCTTTAAAATGTAAAATTGGAATCAGTATTTGTAAAAAATAATTCAACTAAACGTCTGAAAATATATTCTACTAACATGGCAACATCCGGACGCCACTTTCCTGGCTAAACATGTAGACTTTTTCTTTGTACTGACGTGAAAAGTGTCCGTAATACGCATAGTGTAGCCATTACGTCGGCTAAGGTTGGCTTACACTTTTTTATTTTCCAAAATATTTTTGGTTGGGGAACTGACGAATCGAGGCGCGGCGCGTCTATTGAGGGCGTGCTTATGTCAACTTTCCGGTTGGGCGGTCAAGCGGCGCAAAGCACCCGATACTCGTAACTAGTGAGTGTGTAAACTGTACGCATAAACCTGCGACATCGCCGATACGTTCAAACATAAACTTTTCAAATGTTTCATTCTTCACAAATATATCTCAGGAAAATTGTGTACACTAGTCGAACATTTCAACCTTTTTTTCTTGAATGAGTTAAAAGTTTGAGTCGTCTCTTTTCCCGGTAGAGTTGGTGAGTTGGCTATGAGGGTGATTGTTTAGAGGTAACACGACTCCGGATCATAATATCAGCGGTGTGGTCACACCCTACAGGACGTGAAACGTGAACTGTGTGGGGTCACACAAAGTACTCTACAAGCAGAGGTTAGTGGGGAAGATTGTGACCTCTCTATCATAGTGCCCTGTTTTCTGTCGCTTCTCTCCACCAACATCTGCCACTGGTCGGAGGTAGTAGGTCGGAGGCTCAAAGGACAGGTAGAGTGGCGACAGTAAACGGGGTACTAGTATATGATAGAAAGGTCACCATCTTCCCCACCAACCTCTGCTTGGAGGGTAACACAAGGCCTCACTACGGAACTCCTCTGGCGCACTAGGGCGCCCACGGGACTTTAATAGATTCGGGCAATACCTTAACAATTCAAAAATCATTCAATGTAGAGAATTCCTGAAGAAAAATTGCAATGCTCAAAAAAGATACGACATCCATTAAATTTGAAAAGTTTTCCCTGTCAAACTTCTTTGCCCGTCCCAATTCGTTCGGAGCGAACAAAAATGTAACCCTGGATACGTATGAACAGAAAAGGACCACAGTTTTGAACATCATCTAAACTGTGGCGAAAATTAATCTCCAAGCAGATCCCTATCGGTGGCAAAAAAGACAGTATCAAATTGGCCAGACAGTATCCATTGGCCAGAGAAGCTCCATTTAATAGCCACCGACGGGTGGGGTGGGGATCAGAACAAAAAAAAAACGGCCATATATAAAAAGGTAACGATAATTCCCCACAACCTCTGCTTGGAGAGTAGTGAAAATATCACTTCGTGCTACCGCCAGATGCAATTAGTTAAAAATGAATCCCGATCATCAGTTCTAATGTTGTCAACTGTTAGGCGCGAAAGACGGAGAATATAGCATGTACTTACAGTTACAGAAGACTTTATCTTGGTCTCTGTATCCCCGTTCGGATACGTCCATACGTGAATATCGTCCAAATGCTGTTATGTGGAGATTTCTCCGTGTTCGGCAATACAAAATGCTACGATGACAACGCACCTTCTTTTATGACAAACACAATAAGATGATGTCAACCCCCGCCATTCCCTTTAAAACATGACGATATAATGTCATGAACCGCTTTAGAGTTCACAATGCGTTGCAGACATCGACACAACAAAGCTAAGTCTTCGCGTAGAAATATGTTTTCGAAAACTGGTCTGGTTCATAAATTATTACGGGAAAGATCGTGATGGCAAATCCTTTGGTAATTGAAGTAATTGAGGCATGAATAGGAATATTGACGAAGGCTTACACGGCTGACGTAGTCACATATTCTCTCCGACAAACCGTTGGCAACCTTTCACATGCCCTAAGATCCGCAGGTGACCGTGTAAAGGATATTGTGCAAGAACAGGACTAAAGCTGGCATACCAGACAGTCCCCAGAGCTTTAAGGTTTATTATTGGGAAATGTTGCAGATTTCCTGCGATGTATGTGTTATTGTTTCTGCTGATAATACTGGTGATATTCTATACATGTAGATGCATATGCGTGTGTTTTTGTAAGTGATCGTATCAATAGAAAGATGCATATGGTTCAGTTTGCAAGCCCAGAGTCCCGTTCCAATTGTTCTTTGACCTACGCTAGGTGACAACAATGTATGTGCAAGGTTTATGGTTTAATTCGCAACCATGGGGACTGCCAAATGCTTTACAAAATAAACTTAGCAGTCTACAAATCTACAAGTCCACTTACGAATAAAATCACACACACACACACACGCACGCACGCACGCGCACACACACACACATAAACACACACACACACACACACAACACACACACACACACACACACACACACACACACACACACACACACACACATAAACACACACACACACGAACACACACACACACTCACACACACACATACACACACACACACACACACACACACACACACACACACACACACACACACATAAATTTAACACACTCCGGCAGAAGAGAGAGAGTGAAATATATATATATCATACATAGACAGACAGATATACAAAGAGAGATGGAGACAGAGGGAGAAACCGGCATTTTCCCTCTCGTCCTAAATGTTACCATAATACCTAAAAGGTTGCCTAATACCTACACTTCAGTCTGTCCCAGCTTATATCAGCAAGTATGGAACAACAAACAACTCACCCAGTCGGTCAAGGTGTCAGCACTGTGCCCCACCTGTTCGGCCGTGAGGTCAAGAAAAGACAGCACTGATGTGAGCCGTCATATGGCTTCGTGGGTTAACGATAATTTATCCCCAAAGTATACTTGGCTCAAGAACGTATATTTTTATGTTAAAAATCCGATATGGCGCGTAGTTTTCGACAGGGAACCACGAAGTACGGAGGTAAGACTATCCAGAGTCGCAGTCAGCTGTTGTTCTATTCTCTTCCTGTCGTGCCTGAAAAATGTCAAAAGCGCGTGGCGTGAACACCACGGTCGAGAGAACGACACGCGCGCAGTCTGTATGGGCCTGTGAGGCTTCGCTTGATGCACTTTATGTTCACGGCAGCAAAAGTTCACGGTCTGAGAAAAAATAACATGTTCACGGAACTACATACATGTATATATTCACGTTTGCGACAGGTGCGTGCGACAAGTCCAGGAATTATTTGTTTACTGTAATGATAAGTTTACGGTACAGCAGTGACAGTGAAAAGACAGTGAGCTAGTGACTCCTCATTATATTTCTGAAACGAATCATATCTAATTCGAAATGATAAATTATTAATCGTGATGCACTCTATGATATTACTGTTGTCGCCGACGTTACATTAAAACGTGATATTAAAGGTAATTGAAACTTTATTGCATGTTCATTCCCGGGGGGATAAATGCACGGATGTACAAAGTACAATGTACTAGAAAGAAATTACAACAACAACTAGAGTTCCACGATCTCATACCTTCGCCAAATGATGTTAGCCTTTATAAATAAGAAATATACTAATCACCCTGATTATGCAAATAGTATCCTCAATTGCATGAATTATATCAGTCTGTTGATCATATTCTACACCAAAAGACAGTCTTATCTTAACAAAGAATGCCATTATAGCATTTCCTCATAAATTATGCAAATGTGGTCCTTATTTGAATAAGTTATGATTAATTATGTTCACCTTCACTTAACTTTCAAACATCCCAAGTATGAAATTTCAGGCAGTTACCACTATGCAATTATAACATTTTCTCATTAATTATGCAAATTAAGTCCTCATTTGCATAATCTTAAAATAATAATAATTTGCCTGTGTTTTTCTCGTTCTTAATAACATATGTTACAAGCTTGAACTTCCTATCATGGAATGCAGCTGATTTATAGAATTTCCTCATTAATTATGCAAATTACATCAATATTTGCATAATTGTAATATCATTATGTCAAGCATCACTTAAGCTACCTACATACCAAAAATCACTATGATCCATCAATCGGTTCTAGAGTTATCCTCTTTTAAACATTTGTCCTTTAAACCCCCCCTGCAGTTCCAGAGCAAGCAACTAGGGGGCTCAAACTCATGTCACTTTATCCCCAGCACAAGAGCTACCTGCCATCCAAATTTCGTCACCTTAGCATGTCTGGATCATGAGATATCAAAACCGGGAGTTCAGCTGCAGTACCATGACAAGCCACCAGGGGGCCCAATATCTAATCATTTTGAGGTCTCATCAAGACCTACCCACCTACCAAATGTCAAGATAATCCATCTAAGCTTTCTCGAGTTATGCTGTTGACACATACACACACACACACACACACACACACACACACACACACACACACACACACACACACACACACACACACAC